GCCCGGGGGCTCTCCCTGATGCACCTGCAGGCAGTCACCCACACTGCCCAGGGGCTCTCCCTGATGCACCTGCAGGCAGTCACCCACTCTGCCTGGGGCCTCTCCCTGATGCAACTGCAGATTAAAGAGGATGGGCAGATACCCAGCTCCATTTCTGGCTCCCAAGGAAGCTGACGTTCTGAAATCAGAGAGCTGGGCCTGGACTAAAAGAGGAAGATTATTTTAGCGCTTCAAACAGGACCACACCTGAACCTATGTACCCCGACCTGGTTCCAGGTAGTGTAGATAGTTCAAGGGAGACACGAAAGCATTTAGAACCTGACTGGGGCATCGGGCAGACATGGATCCAGATCCTAGTTGTGCTGCTCACCAGCAAAACACCAGCAGTATGTTCTTTACCCCTAAAGCATGTGGTTTGAATAGGGCAAACACCCCAAATCACTGCCTGGTACTTGTGGGGAAGCATCAATGTAAGTCCCTCCACTCATTCTAGTCACTCACAGTTCCTAGGTTGACACCAATTTATTATAAACTACCTATTCTTTGACTTAAAAGTTCAGTTCAGAGAAGAATGATTTTGACAGTAGCTTTGGGTGCCTCCTCATTTGAGTCAGGAACTCAGTGCTCCTCCACATGAAATAGACCATTATCTTCCACTTGAGCCTGAGAGATGCTTCTTTTGTAGCTTGTGTGTGAAGCTCTGGACTACACCTATCTTATAACCTTCCTTAACTGACTATGAACGCTCTGAACTGAGCATAACATAAGCAGAACTTTCTCCTTACCACTCAGTAGAGACCCCTTCTCACTGTGTAAGTTAATACTCTTGCACTGGAGGAGGGAGAAAGTAAAAACCTAATGTTAGTACCAACACCCTATTAACTTGCCCAGCCCAGCTAGTCGCTCCACCTCTCTGCTTCTCAGGCCTGCTATTGAAAATAAAATGAATACCTGCTCTAAGGACAATCAGGAGAGAAATGCAGTGACACACACACACATCTGTGTCCAGATTTTTGCTAAAAGTAAATGATGCTTTCCAAATCTAGTCTTTTACCTGTCTTCAAGAATAAAGGCGAATGTGCACATTCATTATCACCACTGCATTGCAGGCTGCTGAGTAAAGCCCCGTGTGATCAGATGTCTCTAATTACCACAACAATTTTTAAATCAGCTTCAAAAACACAGATGTGTAGCTTCTGGTTCTGAGCACTAAATATTCACGAATAAAGTCCGTGCCTCACCTCCTCCACACGTCACAGTGCAGGGAAAGAAGTCGGTTTGTCTCCACTGATGACTGATGGGCTGGTAAAAGAAGAACTGGACCACACTGTCTCTGGCCACAGTGTACCTGGTCTGGACAGAGAGAACTGAGATAACACATGTGCAAATGACCAGCTCATGCTTTTCTCACCTTTAAAAATGAGATGAATGTTCTTCACCTACGTGGACAACCATGTATATGACCATAAACTATGGTACATGAAGGTTTCAAGGCTGTTAACATGTGACAACATTTCATTTGGATCTGTTGTAAATGGGGCTCATCTGATCTTCAGCAAATCTCCCTGGAATTGTTTTTCTAGATAGTTCCATCATTTTAAATGGGTTACAAAAAATGCAGGTGGACTTGTTTGTTTGTTGATTTAACATTTTTTTTCTTCCTGAAACACTTAATTTTAATTTGCTTGACAACAGAGATTGAAAATTACTCTGGTTTTGGCTCGGCGCCTATAGCTCAACTGGCTAAGGCGCCAGCCACGTACACCTAAGGTGGCGGGTTCGAATCCCCAGCCAGGACCCGCCAAACAACAACGATGGCTGCAACCAAAAAATAGCTGGGCGTTGTGGCGGGCGCCTGTGGTCCCAGCTACTTGGGAGGTGGAGGCAGGAGACTTGCTTGAGCCCAGGAGTTGGAGGTTTCTGTGAGCTGTAATGCCACGGCACTCTACCCAGGGGGACAGCTTGAGGCTCTGTCTCCAAAAAAAAAAAAAAAGAAAAGAAAATTACTCTGGTTTTGCTTACAGTATTGCATGTCATTGGGATGTTTACATTTTTAATGATAATATCTTTAAGGAAATCCTTCTGAAAACACAACTGCAGAAATTCAACTGGAGTGCACTCAAATACCTGGTGTTTACTTACAAACATTCTAGAATCTAGTCAAAAGGGAAGAGGCACTCCTGAGTATGAGTAAGCAAGGACAGACAGAAGTCTACTTTTAGGTGATTTTACTCGAGCAGCAAACCCTCCCCAGTGATTCAACAAATGTGTGAATTGAGGAAAATTCCCAGAATGCATCACAAAGAGAAAAAGAGAAGGAAAACCAAAGTTTAGCTCTTGGAGGACAGTTATAGAAGAGCCAACATCTATGTGAAATTCAAGATTACATACTTGAAAATTGCCAAGAGAGTAGATGTTAAGTGTTCTCATCACAGAAAAAGGCATGTGAGGTAATACGTGTTAATTACCTCTATGTAGCCTATATTTATTCTATAATATATACATATTTTAAAACATGCTGTACACCATAAATATACACAAATTTTGTCAATGAAAATAATTCAAGACAAAATTAATGTGCTAGAAAAACCTCTGGAAAATGTAATAGGGAATAAAAACAAAGATTTAAGATTACTACAAAATTATAGCAATAAAAATAAATACAATATAAAAAGTATATTCCAGGCTTGGCATCTGTAGCTGAGTGGCTAGGGAGCCAGCCACATACACCAGAGCTGGCGGGTTCAAATCCAGCCCAGGCTAACTACAACCAAAAAACAGCCTGGCACTGTGGCAAGCACCTGTAGTCCCAGCTACTTGGGAGGCTGAGGCAAGAGGATTGCTTAAGCCCAAGAGTTTGAGGTTGCTGTGAGCTGTGATGCCACAGCATTCTAACAAGGGTGACATAGTGAGACTCTATCTTAAAAAAAAGAAAAAGTATATTCCATGTATATGTATGTATGCTGTATCTAGTGGAGGAAGCAGTTTATAAAATAATATAGCTTAATTTTTCAAAGGAAATTTTAAAAAAGACTATCACCAAATTCTGCAATATTTCTAAGAAAAATAGTGGAGACAAGAGAGAGAATAACAAAGAGGCAATATTTAAATATGAAATCACTTAGAATTTCCTAGATCATAAAAAAGGCAAGAATTTCAGTTAAAAATGGTCATTGAGTTCTAATTAGACATTTTTATAAATACAACAAGGATACAGAAAAATCCTAAAAGTTATCACAAGAATAAATTGATTCCTACAAAAGTGTGAAAAATCACATTGGTGTTCAGATTTTTCATAAGCAACAATGAATGCAAGAAAACAAATCAAATCTTCAAAGTGATGAGAGACAAGGATTTTGGATCTAGAATTCTATAGCAAAGCACTAAATACTAATCACTAATCAATTATCAAATGATCAATCATTAGTCAGTAAAACAAAGATTTTTCAAAAACAAAATAAATGACTCTAAACGTCACCACTCAGAGACACTCATTGGAACAAATAAGGAAAACCAATAAACAGTGTGCTGAACAAGCTCTAAGACACACAGAAGAAAGTATGAGAGGTAATAATGATGAAATAAATCAGTAAAGTTTATGAGTAAATCTAAACAAGTCTTAATTAAAAAATAGTTTCACATTTAATTGCAAAATGGTGTAAAAATTCTAGACATAAGTGGAGAAGCTAACCAAAGACACAATTTCCTTTACAGTAGCTTCAAAGAAAATGAAATACCTAGGAATATACCTAACAAAAGAGGTGAAGGACCTCTACAAAGAGAATTATGAAACCCTAAGACAAGAAATAGCAGAAGATATCTTCCATTAACAAATGGAAGAACATACCACACTCTAGGCTGGGAATAATCAATGTTGTTAAAATGTCTGTACTTCCCAAAGTGATCTAAAGAGTCAAAGCAATCCTCATTAAAATACCAACATGATACTTTGAAGATTTGGAAAAAATACTTCTTCATTTAATATGGAACCAGAAAAAAACCCACATAGACATGGGCAATTGTTAGTAATAAAAAGAAAGCTGGGGGTATCACTCTACCAGACTTTAGGCTATATTACAAGTCCATAGTGATGAAAACAGAATGTATTAGCACAAAAATAGAGGCATAGATATATGGAACAGAATAGAAAACCGTGAAATAAAACTAACATCTTATAGCCATCTGCTCTTTGATAAACCAAACAAGAGCATACATGGGGGAAAAGAATCCCTATTCAATAAATGGTGCTGGGAGAACTGGATAACCACATGTAAAAGACTGAAACTAGACCTGCACCTTTCACCACTTACAAAAATTGACTTGAAATGGATAAAAGATTTAAATCTAAGGAATGAAATGATAAAAATCCTGGAAGAAAGTATGGGAAAAACTCTTGAAGATGTCAGCCTGGGAAAAGATTTTATGAAGAAGAACTCAAGAGCAATTACAACAGCAACAACAACATAAAACAGGACTTAATTAAACTGAAAAGCTGTGCAACTAAGAACACAACAATCAAAGCAAATCGACAACCTTCAGAATGGGAAAAGATATTTGTGGTTAGGAATCTGTCAAACCCTTGATAGGATCTACAGAAAATTAATCTACAGATCAAATTAATCAACAGAAAAAAGAGCAAACAATCCCATCTATTACTGGGCAAGAGTCATGAACAGAACCTTCTCTAAGGAAGACAGATGAATGGCTACCAAACATATGAAGATATGCTCATTATCCCTAATCATCAGAGAAATGCAAATCAAAACTACCCTGAGATATGACATAACCCCAGTAAGATTAGCCCACATCACAAAGTCCCAAAGCTGCAGATGCTGGGGCTGATGTGGAGAGAAGGGAGCACTATTACACTGTTGGTGGGACTGAAAACTAATACAGCCTCTTTGGAAAGAAGTATGGAGTATCCTTAAAGAACTCAAATTGGATCTTCCATTTGAGCCTCAATCTCAATACTAGGCATCTACCCAGAAGAAAAAAAATTATTTTATCATAAGGACATTCGCACTAGACTATTTATTGCAGCTCAATTTATAATCACCAAGACGTGGAAACAACCTAAATGCCCATCAACTCAGGAATGGATTCACAAACTATGGTAATGTATACCATGGAATAATATTGAGACATTAAAAAGATGGAGACTTCATATCTTTTGTATTAATGTGGATGGAGCTGAAACACATTCTTCTTATTAAACTATCACAAGAATGGAAGAGCAATTATCCAATGTACTCTCTACTAATATGAAGCTAGCAGATGATCTAATGCATGCCCAGATAGGAGAAAAACTCATTTCAATTCAAGTTGGGGGAGGTATTGTAAGGGAGAGGGGAGGTGGGTGGGGTGGGGAAGTCCCACTCAATGGGCATGGTGTGGGGTGTCTGGCACCTTTTGAGTGTGAGGCATAACCATAAGAGGGACTCTACCTAACAAAATAAAATATTTTGACCTGGTTGTTTGTACCCTCACTTTAACCTGAATTAAAATAAATAAATAAATAAATAAATAAAAAGGGTCAATTCACTAGGAAAATGTAATTATTCTAAATGTGAATGTTCCTAACAAACTTGCGTCAAAATGTATAATGCAGAATGTACAGTCAGAATGGAGTTTTAGCACATATCTCATGGTAAAATGGAATAAGCAGGAAGGTTACATTTTTGTATAACAACAAATCATAAACTTGACCTATTTTACAACTATAGAACATTGTATCCAACAATGGAAGACAGTACATCATATTCTTCCAAAATTCATTACATTCAGAGCTACAAACCAAGAAATTAGGTTAAAGATTAAAATAATATGGGGTATATTCTTTGACCACAGTAGAATTAAGCTATGAAGATAAACCATAAAAAATTACTAAATATTTCTACATGCTTAGACGTTACATTTCTAAATTATAAGTAGGAGGATGTATAATTATGAAAATCATACAATAACATAAATGAATGATGAAGAGAAAGCTTTCATATTAAAACTTGTGAAGTTAAACATAAGGTATGCTTTGAGAGATATTTATATACTTAAATTCAAATATTATATAAAAAAGAATAACAATCAATGATATAAACATCCAATTCAAGAAGTTAGAAAAAGAATAGCATATTGAATCCAGAGAAAGTAGAAAGATGAACATAATAAAGATAGGAGTAGATATTAATGTATGGAAAGGAAACTACATTTAAAAAGAGATATAAAGCCAAAAGCTGTTGCTGCAAAAAGTCTAATAAAATTGATAGCACTTCAACATGACTCATCAAGGAAAAAACAAAGTAGGCACAAATAGCCAATGCCAGGAATGCGACAGAGCACTCACTACAGACCCTCCT